ATGATTATGTTCTTTGATCCAGTATTAATTAATGTTGACTACGATTTACCCCTTCATCTACATTGATTGATTTGCTTAGAAAGTATTAAACAACTTTTGAGTCAAACAACCATAAATGATTTGCTTTTTTAACTAAAAGAATAAAGTCAAACCGAGACTAAACCAACCGATTGTACATTTATACAATTTTTAAAAATATGTTATACATATAAATATTTATTGTAATATAATTTATAAATATTTCTTAAACTTTTTTATAATTTTATCTTTTAACGTATTATTTCAAGTTTAGATTTAACATTCTTGAATGGTAAATAAATTTTATAGCCCAGAAATATAGTAACTCAAATAAAGTTCAAATCAATGTTAATGCTAATAAAAGAAATTCAATTCAACACACTAGGAATGATAATAGTGTTGCACATCTATTTTTTAGTTTTACATTAGTTTATAATGTAAATGCATAACTTAGTTTATCTTTTTCTTTAGTGCTTAATTGTGTAATTAACAGTACTTAATTATTAGCTATGCTTATTTTAGCATGACCTATATATTATTTTTAGATTATGTTAATTTTCATTATGGCTTATTAATTAGAAATATTTGCTTTATGCAATTTTATTATTTTTGTTATTGAATATTTTAGTATAATGCTTTGACTTATCTCATATTATTGTGTTATTTTCCTGAAAAATATATTATATAGTTGTATCTTACTAGGACTAAAGAAATATTTGGAGCACAAGTTACATATTGTGTGCTATGAAGACGTTGCCAGAAAAAACCTCGAAAACCCAAAAAAAACCGAAAGACCCGAGAAAAACCGAGATTCAAAAACTCGACATTGTTGGTTGGGTTTGGTTTATAGATTTAAAAACCCGACACCATTAGTTTGGTTTGGTAGTTGAAAAATTCGAACCAACGCGCCCTATGTAGAGATTGATTTAACTGTATCATTGGCTTGAGGTGGTTGTAAGAAACCATAAGCTTTAAATCCTAAATACGCCCCTGGAGGGGCAATAATCTCTCTCTCCTCTCCCCTACCCCTCGAGGTTCCTCTTCTTAGTGCACAAAATATCTCGCATTCGCGCAGGGTCCAGGGAAGGGCCGCAACCCTTAGGAATGTGACGTAGACAGTATACCCTAATGCAAGCATTAGTGACCGCTTCCACGGCTCGTAGAGGTTCCTCTTCGAGGCTTCTTTTCTATTTTTCATCGTAACAAAGAAAAGAAGATGTAGTCGATGTAAATATTCTAAGAGAGAACGGAAAGTACCTTGGAACCTAATAGTGCATGCAGATAATGGAGAAATAAGTGAAGTAATGAAGAACCATGAGCTGCTAGTGCAATACATTCAAGGCACTGATGCTTCGTTTTCGACATTTGAAGAATCACTAGTTCAAGCTAGAAAATATCTTAAATGTGATAACTTTTTAATATCGAACTTTACATTTCATTGATTTAAATTGGGCTCCTAACTTGATACTTTCTGAACTTTTGCTATTATTAAAGTTCCTCACCTAGCTGATCTACTTTATGCCTTCTCTGGTTAATTGATCTACTTTAGATAAGGTAGAAGATCCACCTTATCTAAAAGGCAAAATACATAGTTTACTCGTAAATTCTGCAATGAAATATTTGTTACACACTTCTCTTTCACGGAAAACTTTTTATACACTCAACCTTTCAAAAGTGTGTCTAAGACACACTACTTTCGACCAGATAGCACTTGCGTGTTTACACACAAAAAAGCGCGTGAAGCTCGTAAAAAATCCCATTTTCCGCCTCCCCTCCCCACAAGAACCCCTCCCCCTCCCTCTAGTCTTCTTCCTCACCACCCTCCCCCTCATTTTTTTCTCCAAATAGAATTTTCGAAAGAACATATCAATTTTAGATCTAAAATTGAGCGGATTTTGTTGGTTTATTGTCCAAATATTGTGGTTTATTTGTGATAAATTTAAAAGCTTTAACAGTAGTATTGAAGGTTTGGTGAAAAAATCTAGAATCCACCGTTGTTGGGGTATCGAAAAAAGCTTGAAAATTCAATTGGGTCTTGTTGATTATTGGGTTATTGAACTCAATTTGTTGCTCGATTATTTTCGGCTAGTTTAGATAGTATGGTTGAATTTTGGTGTTGTTGGAAACTTTCTCACTAACAACCATGGTGGTAGCAACAATGGTGCTTAAGATAGAAAATGAAAAGATGGGTTTTAATTTTAATTTCTAATTTTTTTATCCTTTTTAAAGTCAATGACACGTGTCACAATCCTATTAGGGCGTGACTTTCAAGTTATCTAAAAAGTTGGTCAAGCACAAAAGTGGTGTGTCTTAGACACACTTTTAAAAGGTTGAGTGTGTAAAAGGTTTCACGTGAAAGAGAGGTATGTAATAGGTATTTCGGTGCATGTTTGATGGGTAAACTATGTATTTTGCCTATCAAAAATAATCTCTTTTTCTTCTTGAAGAATATGAATCTAACTGCAACACCATTTACAAAATTTAACTTTAAGGTCAAGAGCCTGTGTTTCCATTTATATTCATATGTAGGAAGTCACAAGAGAAGATAAAGAAAGATATGTGCAACTGAAATATCATTTGGCAGCCAATTTTATCTGCAACTAATTGAATTGCAGGGATATAATTTTTTTCACTGCACTGATATACTTGTGTACACCTATCGCCGAGCTTGGAGAAAACAAAATTTTGTACAGTCTCTGTAGTCTGTACTAAAGGAAGAAATAGTGGCCGATTACATCACAAATAAAATCTATAATGTAATTCAATTCTGATTCGAAACTGAATCTGGAAGCCTGTTCTGGTGCTGATATATAAAGTCTTCAATCGGTGTGTTGTTGCACAACTAATATTGTGGAAATACTTTCAGAATCTGCTAAAGCAAACATGTCTCCTACTGGCCCTAACTCAGACTCTTCAACCCAATCAGAAAGGCCAAGTAGTAATGGAGATTGTGTGTCATGACGTCTGCCAACAATGATTACTTCATATTCGTCTTCCATTGATCGCATAACAGCAGCTGTCCCTGTTCCATCCCGTATCATCTTTTCTACATACTTGACCCGAAAATTTCCTGCCATACCACTCCTTGCCTCGCTTACCATTTCATTATCCAGAGTCTTCTGTATTGTGTCATAATGAGTCGTTGCTATTTTACCGCCTTCCTCTTGCTGAAGGAGTAATCGGACTATTGTGAGGCTGATGTTTCTCTTTCCAGCCATGCGTTCTCCCAGAGCGAGTGCTTCCCTATCATCTGGTCCTCCCAAGAAAAGGACAGCAACACGATACGTAGACCAAGCATCTAGTATGGGCCTTGAGGTGTTCACAAGTGACCGGTCTACAACTACTGCAACGGAACAAGGTGCTGTCTGCAGGATTTTTTCATTCATAATTTTAATACCTAAATTGGATACTGTCTTCCTGCTGGAACTAAACCTTTTGTGGAAAGGAATCATTATGAGAGATGCCCTCCTTTCAAGTGCCATATTGCACACTTCATCATGCATCATAACATAAGGAGATATAGCCGTAAAGGGATACATGGCTACTGTCTCGCGGAAGTTCTGCTCAAACACTTTGAAGGCATTGATGATTCTTTTCGAAGCTGAGGCCTCGTTTACGTGCTTCATCATTGGAAGTTTGTGGTTTATGAGAAGCGGATGGGCACGGCCAACAAGCTCTATTAAATGTAGCATGGCAATATCCATATGGCTTTGGTTTGAGGGGTGAAGTGCTTCCAGCAAGTTTATTGTGGCTGGGACATTTTCTTGATCATGTATACATGCAAGCACCCGAAGTTCAGAGTACACCTTCATATGCTGGATATTCCTATTTTTGTGTGCTGCATATCTTTTATGTGGATCATACAGAGATTTCAGTATTGGAGTAACGATGGCAGTTGCAATGAAGAGGTTTATGCACAAGACAACAAAAGCTTCATCTGCTATTGCCTGTATTTGACGAAAACCAATTCACACGTATACATCAAAATATGAATTAATGCATGAGCGAGTCAAATATAGTACTATATGTTGGGTCGTTTGAAACATGGGATAAGGAGAATAATCCTAGGATAAAGTTTGGGATTAACTTTATTCTATGTTTAGTTTGGGGTATTAGCTAATCTGGTGATAACTTTTACACTAAAATGGTGGGATTAATTATCCCATATAGAAGGTGGGATAACGTAACTAATCCCATGGAATATCCTACCCCATGGGAACCAAACAACCCCTATAAGTATATATTGCGTTCTTAGGAAAAAAGATATTAATTGTTGCAACTATATATATATATATATATATATATATAGTTTACCTCATTTTGCTTCATCATTTTAAACATGCCTAGCTCCAGAACACCTTGGACGTTGGCTACGAGGCCAATTGAGATTGCATCTCGGAGTGAAACTTGGTTGCATATTGAAGAGATAAGTGCGCCAAGGAATTTTCCGAAACAAGCAACGAGAATAACTGATTGCAGAAGCAAATAATTCCTGAGTTTCACAGAAAATATATCAGTAACCAAACCAGTTTTGACGAAGTAGATGGGCATAAACAGCCAAGAAACGATGAATTGAAGCTTGTCCATCATGGCAGAACCTAGGGGAGGTCCAGCTGGTATGGCTAGACCATAAATTAGTGGCCCGTAGAAGATGTGTAGGCCTAGAGCCTTGCTGCAAAATCCAGACAGCAAGACGCCTATAAATATCAAACAAATGAAACCTTGCTTTAATGGCTCCCCCGGAGGATTTCTTCGCGTGCCCCATATTATTAGGGGTCTCACACCAAAAAATATAACCATAGTAAAGCCAATACCAGCTGTGATGTTTTGGAGAAGGATAAATTTCTCGACTGAGGGTTGACTTGACAAGCTCGTGATAGTTATGATTAAAAACCCAAACATATTGCTGACAAGGGAACAAGACATTGCCATCCTTCCAAAATCTGAATTGACCATCCTAAGCTCGGTGAGATAGTGAGCGATGACTGGGAAGCCAAGCACCGATGACATGGTTGCTACTACGGGGAGTGAGTTCGACACTAATTGATCAACATTTATTTCAATGCTGAGCAGAATGAAAGAGGTGGTGATGCTTAGTACAATAGCAGCCGCTACAGTTGAGACACCAATGATAAACGCCTTCTTCTCAACTCTCTTCAGAATCCAAGGATCTATTTGTACTCCAATCAAAAAGAAGTAGAACATATAGCCAAATAGAGCAACCGCATCGATGAGTACCAGACTTCTGTAAGGATAAAAAAGCTCTATGAATCCATCAATCCTTCCGAAAAACGACGGACCTAGTGCTATACCACCCTGCAGGGAAAGCCAAGCATCTTCTTCTTGTTAACTAATGTTAGACATGCATTTAAGCGCCTAGGATATGCATGCATGTGATTGCTAATTAGCCTACTAGTCATTTATTGAATTTTCTGCAAACAATTTATAGCAGTAATTTTGGGGTGGGAAGGTTAAAAATATATAGCGCCTAACAACTACTATATACTACAGAGCACTTGCACATACACTTGGCTTATTTTGTACATAGACTCTCATAGCTAGAATATAAAAAGGTCAAAGAAAAAAAGAACTTACAAATATTTGGATGACATTGGTAGGTTGGCCAAGGGGTTTGAGGAGGGTAGAAGTCAAAAGAACGAAAAGGGAGGCCAGGGAAAGCTGAGCCAGAAGGAGAGGAACTGAGTAATCTAATGGGTTTGCATGGTGGAAAAAGATTGAACCTTTGGATTGAATCTTGCCGATTGACATGCAAATGGAGGAATGATTTTCTCCACCAGCTTTAAATATTTCAGCATACGTCGCTATGTCATCTGGTTCCATTACGTGCGAACCCATTGGATTTCAAACCTCAGATCCCTTTATTTATTTCCTCAAATCTTTCTCTTCTTTACGGTGGCCTCCCCTTCTGCATCATCCTTGACAGTAATTACAACGAAGGAGAGGAACAACAAATGTTGATGACCAACAAGCCGAATTCTTTTTCACAGTTTAAAGCTATGGTCAAAATCCAATACGGCTCCTATTTTTTCGCCAAATTTAGGACTTATAAAAAGATGGAAGAAAATTAAACAAATAAAGGGTGTGTTTGGTACCATGGAAAATGTGTGTTTGTTTGGTTAGATAGCATAAATATTTTTGAAAATATATAATTAAGCCAAATACACAAAATGGGTAAGGGGGAGTAGAAGCGGACCTATTCTATAAAATGAGGGGTCACCAGCACCGGCAAAAATTCTATATATATATACATGAATATGTCTTTAAAAAATAGATATATATTAGTTGTGGGCACCCTATATACAAAAGATTTTGGTTGAATCCAAAAATGCACCCACGACCTTCAGATTATGGGTCTGCCTCTGAGGGGATGGTAGTAGGTCCGGGTCTGGTTCGGAGTGGCAATGGAAATGTTAGGGGGGGTGGGTGGCGAGGATGGGGGCACGGGGGGTGGGGTGAGCAGGTGGGATGGGAGGTGAGGGGAGAGATGGGGGTGGAGAATAGGACGAGGAAGGTCGAGAAAGAGTTTTGAAAAATATTTTCCCTCTTTTTGGTAAGGAAATCATTTTTCTCCAATTGAATTCACGAGAAAAATATTTTTCAAAATATTTAAGCCAACCAAACGTAAGAAAATTGAAAAATATTTTCACCAAACACACCCAAAATGTATGCTTAAACGAGAAATTTACGTTTTACTAATAGTTTTGCATGACACAACAACAACAACCTAGTGAAATCTCACTAGTGGGTCTTGAGAGGGTAGTGTACGCAGACCTTACCCCTACCTCGAGGGATAGAGAGACTGTTTCCGATAGACCATCGGCTAAAGAAGACGAAAAGAAACAGTATATCAGTACCATCAATAAATCTTAGAAAGAAATAACAACATCACAAGAACATTACGAAAAGCAAAACAATAATTGTAATTTACAAAAGATTTAATTATCTTTATAAATTAAGGAAAAGATATCATTTTTCTAGCAAAATTTCAATAAGCAATATACGAAGTATTCCTAATGTTTATGGGATTGAATAACCGCTGTTTGCTGCTTTCTCTTCTTTAGAGGCAAAAAGAGCTTTTACACATTTTCATTAATCCATGATTTTCTTTCTTGCACATAAACTTCATTCCTCATTTCCTAGAGGCAAATAGATCCCGATATATAAGGATTTAAATTTTATGGTTTAACTTTTAAGGTATTTAGTATTAAAATTGTTATATTTTTAAAGTTATATGTACAGACTTACCCTATGTTGCAATTTTAATAAATTTTATATATAAATATTTATACTTCATGTCGAAAGTACTAGTGTCCAAACTCTACATTGGCCCCCGAGCATAAAGTAAGTCTCACGATTTGAACCCAATGATATGTAGGTCACACGTTTTGTCATACTAGTTTAGTGTACGTGTGTTGCACGTGTGCCTCGCTCAAGTAAATATATGTGCAAAAACAATGTGTTTGACTACAGATGCTTCATCCCGGTTTTTTTAAGAGCCTGTTTGGCCAAGCTTCTAGTATGTCAAAAGTACTTTTTTTTGTCAAAAAAGCATTTTTTAAAAAATTTAAGGTGTTTGGCCAAAATGCAGAAATAGTTTTTCTACTTATGGGGAGAAGCTAAAAGTTCTAGCTTCTTCCAAAAAACAGAAGCAGAAGTAGAAAGTTAATTTATTCAAGACAAAAATAACCTTACGGTAAATTTATATTTTTCAAATTATCCCTCATTAATTTAATTTTTCTTTTCCTTGTCCCTTTCCTTTTATTTTATTTCTGCTATACATTTATTCTCTTTTTTATTTTAATTATATTTTTATTCTCTTTCTCCTATTCCTAAGAGTAGATTTTAAATTTATATTGAATGATGTATTTTGACATATTTAAATTATCATGTAAATAATAAGTTATACTAAACACTCAATATTATTGTTTTGGAATAACTATATTATATTAATGAGAATTTTTACTTTACATTTTATATTTTAATGGAATTCTTTTCTAAAAAATGTTTAAATTTAATTTTCTTTTCTAATAATATTAATTGCAAATTAAACTGTTAATATCCTTTTTCGTAATTTGATACTTAAAAGTACTTTTTTAAAAGATTGGTCAAACACAATGAGCTTGNAAAACTACTTTTAGGTTTTCAAACGCTGCGGCCATTTGGCTACCCTTTACTATGTCCAACACAAACTACTTATTTTGCAAAAGTACTTTTTCATAAAGCACTTTTGAATAAAAGCGCTTTTTAAAATAAGTAGTTTTTGACAGCTTGGCCAAACGGGCTCTAAATCAATTTAGCATTGATATATTTGTTAATTTCCATATATACTAACCTTGTATTATATTTTCAATTGTCATATTTTCAAAGGGGAAATATTTAGAAAAAAATATGGAAAATTATAGTTTTTGAATAAGAAAAATAAATCTAGTCATCTAAAAATAATTTAGGGTTATTATCACTATTTCAATACTATTTTATTCCCATCTTTTGATTCTTCTGCTTGTTCTCATCTCAAAAAAAATTATACAACAAAAATTGGCATGAGAATAATATAAAAAAATATCAAATTATGAATAAAGTTACATATGAACATAAAAAATGCTAAGCAGCATGGAGTTTAAACCAATAATTAAAGTGTGGATCATAAATTAATAGAATTATGTCATCATGCCAATAAAAAATTTACAATAACTTTGAGATACATGGCACATTAAAAACAATCTAAAAAATTAAAAGAATTCATTCCCGCGCGCTTTGCGCGTGTACTACATATTAAGAAGTTTAGAAACTTTAAAAAAATTATATAAATATTATTAAATTTTGTATACCCAACGTGCAAAATGTAATTATTAAGTGTCGTTTAAAAAGTATTTTTAGAATTGGATGTTGATTAAAGAGTATACTAATTGTAAATATTAAAATAATTTTATATCTAAATACAGAAATTACTGTAATATTTTTTATTTTGGTACATAAATTTTATAGTATGAAACTTTGAAAGGCTAATGAAATACCATTTTATAGCCGAATAATTAAACATAAATTTCCAAATTTTTTTTCATGTTACTAAGATAATAAATAATATAAACTAATTGATTTTAATTTTATCACCAATTATATATCTATAATTAAGAATAAAAAAAATCGAAGGAGATTCGATCGACACTATCTAATATAGTATAGCTTCCTACTAATTAGTTTTTTTTCACTTTTATTTTTATTTATATTAAATTATATAAAACTAATTGATTATAATTTCATATAAACGAATAATTCAAACCTACAGCTAGTAATAGTTATGTTTTTACTTATTCTCAGTGAAACTTTTTATTTTGGTATTACTTGTCTTTTATAAAATTAATATATCACATAATTAAAATAAGGAAAGGATCTAATGCGCAAAATTTAGTTGAAAGATTAAATAAATTTCCGAACAAGGTGTATGTGTTTGCATTAATTTTTTTATTTCTTAAAGTAGCTTGAGATTGGTATTCGTAACTTTCAAGGTATTGTGATTCAAAAGAATTTTTAGACAAAATCCAATATTATATAATTTTTGTAGTGTTTTATTTTAAATCGAACTTAATAGTGCTTTTTGTTTGGTTTTATAATTATACAAATCTGATTTTTCCTTTTTTATCTAGTTTCAATTTGTAAAATAAATGTTAGTATATGAATGAATAGACTTATCAAAATGTTCAATATATTCCAGTTTGGACCGGAGTGCTAGTATTTTACCTATGAACCAATCATTTAAATACTCAACCAAATAAAAAATCAATCATATATATTATCTTATTGAATTGAACATAAACTTGAATTTTAAAATATAGCTCATAAAAGATGCTCTAGTTTTACCACTATATTAATGACGTAAAGTATCCATGTAAACTTTACGTTTCCATATCGAGATGTTACACAGTTTGGAAAATTTGTATTAGTTATAATTTTAATTGTTTTAAAAGTTCTAAATATTTGGACTTCTTATATAGTAGTATTTTAAATAAGGAAGGATTCAATATACAAAATCTTAGGTGATTATAAGATCCTAAATCTATTAGGTAAATAATCAAATGACTATTTTATCCAATGTGAACTCTATTTTAAAACGGTAAAAAAGTCGAACGACATTTCGCTAAGGGCCTTCGTGCTTTTAATATAGTACTAGATTTAGTGTACGTGCGTTGCACGTATATTCCGCGTCTATTCATAAAATATTATATACAAGTCAGAAAGTAATTCAGATTTCAATGATAATAACATATAACATCGCTTTATTCTCATTTTTTTTTTTGAGAAACTTTTAAATAGTATGATATCACATTGTCATATTAGTTTTTTGAGTATTCTTCAAGGAAAGAAGATTTATCCCCAAAAAGTATCTTGTTATTAATTGTACAGTTGTTATTTTATAAATTGATTTGGACTTCACAGAAGTTCATATTCAATACTTTGTAGTGACTGAAATTTTTATATATTAGATCTCGACTTGGACTTCATGATCAGAGTGTTGTCGTGATTCTATCAACAGAATATTAAACCAAAAAGGAACGCTTATTTATTATCAATTTGAAGTGATAATTCAGATTCTTAGGAAAATTTAAAAATTATTCTATTTACCAAAGTAGTCTATAAGTTGTTAAATTTAGGTAGAATAACTAAAACCACTCTCAAACCTGGCACCTAATAAGAGTCAATCAATATTTTTAAATATTTTTGTGATTGACACCCCAGTTTAAGAATTCTTTTTTTTTTTTTTTTGTTATAATGGTCTCTATATCAATTTTTAAGAGCAATAAAAGCAATAACTACACTCATATGTGTTTCAAACATGAAACAGAAACTTGGAAAGAAATCAATGTGGAGATGAATCCTTAGGGAAAATAATCTGGAATGTGTTATAGTTATATAAAATAATTCAAATAAGGAAAACAATTTATCTAAGCTATAA